CACTACTGCATCACTAGACCAAAACCTTTTACTGTATCCACCCGGAAAGATCAACTGATTTGTGCTGCTGACATTACATTAACTATGATGCATTAGAAACACCTAATAATAGCGGAAGTCCTTAATTTTTTTTTTTGCAATTTAACCTTGAATCTCTTGAGAACATGCCTTTAAACCTTGATAAAAATATCAGACAACCCACCTCTCAGCCCTAACATCTGAATTGACCAGAAACTATTTTAAATCTCCCATTCCTTTCCTGTGCTTTTCACCTGTCAAAGTGACTGAATGCAAGAAACACAGGCTGAACTTACACACTGTTCATTCATTTTGTTTTCACTCAGAACACTTGAAATCCTTGGTTTGGAGTAAGGAAAAACAAAATCCCATTTTTGTTCACAGGTCATTAAATTTATCATTAAGTCATTTCAAATGTCACTTTAAGACTATAAAGGTTTGGGGGGGGGGTTGCTCAGTTTAAACTAGTCTAACAGACTGCTTCTATTATACGTCTTACATAAATATTAATATGGTAAACTTACACATCTTCTCTAAATTACAGATAGTTTAGCAGTTACTTGAACAAATATTATGTTTCCATAGCATCTTCAGAAAATAACTTCTGTTTCCATGCAAAGTGATTTTTCCCACGCAAGTACTGACCCCTGCTCCATCAGTTTAACTCAGGCGAAAAACAAAGGGCAAAAACTGTCAGTTTCCTCGATTTCAGTTGAGGTTAATTTACATGAAGTACAAGGGATAAAATTCTGCCAGTTCTCTCTTCAACATGCAGTGTTCCCCAATGCCTTGGGGGTGTGTGATTACGAGTGAACTATATCCTATTATGCTCTAGTGGCTGCGGCCATTCCTAACAGTGCCTGTGTTACTGCATTTATAGCTTTGCAATAAAAGTATAACCGTTCCTGAATGCGTGTACTTCGTTGTTAGCTGTGGGTTCTGACAAGAGTTCACCTTCCAAAGCAGCCATTTTCTCCAGGTGAAATGATCTCTGTCGCCTGGAGATCATTTGTAATCCCAGGAGATCACCAGCCACCACCTGGAGTTTGTATCCAAAGGCAAGCTCACGGGAGGAGGTTGTATCAAAGCACAAACACTCCGTGTATAACTTACGAAGTTATACACGGAGTGTTTGTGTTTTGATACAGCCACCTGGATTTTGGCAGCCCTGAGCACCACAGGAATCTCTTAACTGGCTTGTTCCAGGGCCATTTTTGCTTCCCTGGGGACACCTGAGTAAAACAAAGAACAGGAAGCATGATGGGGCCAGGTTAGTGTGGTATATTTATCGTGTACATGTATAGATGTAACAGAACAGTCTGCTCCCCCCTAGTATCTGTGTGATTTAGTTTGGTCCTATTGGGTGAAGTTCTTGTTTCAGTTTCCAGTTTTGTATGTTGGCTGAAGTTGTTGTTGTCGGTGCAGTTGTCTCCTTGCAAACAAACAGCTGATGTTTTGAGCCAACTTGTCTCTGCTGAATGGACCTGAGAACGGGTGCCTGAGTGAGTACTCTAACCTGGGAACCCACAGACAAAGGGGGACATTACGGGTAGGCCTTTAGGAGGTGTTGTAAAAACTACTGGTGAGATAGTCATATGCATGTTTGGTCTCTATATGGAGGAAGTGCCATGCGTTCAGTCGACTGTTGCTCCTTTCAGCAACATGCACACTGTAGTTTAGCTCTGCTGGTGCAGCCTTATTTTCTTCCTAATTATGTGAACGCCCAAGAAAAAAAAACCAGGAAAAATTTGTGGATTCCCCCCCCTTTTTTTGAGGAACCCCCCAATTAGTTTGGGGGTATACTGGGGGAAAAACCTATGAAACATTTTCTCTTCTTGAGTGAGTAAACGCTTGGTGTTTACAAAGCAGGCTTCTAATAGTTTTTTAAACAGGAGATTTAATGACATCAGTGTACTATTATACTGTCACAAGAATCGGATGACCCCACCTCACTGTTGCTGGACTCCGGGTTCTTCGGGCGCCCAGCCACCTTGGTGGCTCTTCCCCTAGGGCAGCAGGGGCCTCAGACACCTGAGCGGGGGAGAATGGTTACATCACCACTCTACCACCCTCCCCTTCTGGAGGGCTCACCTTCTTTCTCTCTGGGCGTGACTCCACCGGCTCCAGGTAATCCTCCTCAGCCCCTTGTTGCTGCCCTGCTTTTATCTCCTCCCGCTTTGGCCCTGCCCTCATATTTAACTGGAGACACTGGGCCTTGGGAGTGGCCTCGGCACCGGTCGCCTGCTCCGGGCTGGGGTGGGGCATCGTTGAGTGGCTGCACTTGGGCCACCGAGCTCTGGACCATGGGCGGGCCCTCACACCGAGCCTGTGGCCTGGTGTGGCCATCCCTGGCTGGGGCTCCCCTACTCGCCCGGCCACGGTTGGCTCTGAAGGGGTGCAGGTGGGGTTGCTGCGGCAGTGCCGGACTTGTTTGGCAGCTTCCCCCTGGCCTTCCCCAATTTTCCAGTAAGGGGGGGGCGGGGAGGGGTCCTTGGGCATCAATGGGGTGTCCATCACCAGTGGCGGGGTCAGGAGCGGCCCATCATCGGGACATATACTAAAACATTCATCTGATTTTCTGAGTTTTCATTTTTAAAAACATAAGTCTCTAACCTATTTCTTTTAGGCTTGCCAGACCCCCCAGTTTGGTGGGGGTTGCCTGCTTTGGCCTCCCCCCTTACCCCTCCCCAGCAGGGTTTAAAAAGACCCTTTCGATGATCCTGGGGAGAGTTGGGGGGCGCGTGCTTGCACTCCAAGCCCCGAATTTGGGGCTCAGCACACAGGTCCATGCAGCTCCCCCCCTGCCTCTCACAAGCAGGATTTAAATGGACCCTTTGACACTGCTGGGGAGAGGCAAGGGGCACATGCTTGCACTCTGAGCCACGAATTCAGGGTCCGGCGTGCAGGCACACGTGACTTCCCCCACCTCTCCCCAGCAGGGTTTAAAAGAACCCTTAGACACTATTGGGGAGAGGCGGGGGTTGCATGCTTGCACTATGAGTCCCGAATTCGGGGCTCAGGGTGCAGGCGCGTGTGACTTCCCCTCCCACCTCTCCCCAGCAGGGTTTAAAAAGAACCTTTAGACGCTGCTGCGGCGAGGCGGGAGCATCCACTCTCCTGCATGATGGAATCACTTCTGAGTAAAGTCATCACTCTGGGAACTACCCACCCCCTCCAGTAACGCCCCCCAAAGTCCCCCAGTGGGGACTTTGAGGGACCTTGCAACCCTAATTTCTTTGTACAGATACACTGTTTTCTGTATATCTTATCCTCGGATCAGTTGGTTCATTTTATTCGTGTATTTAGTATAGCAGCTCTCAGTTTCAGAATAAAGCATCTAAAATTTGTTAGAATTAAACCAACTCTTGGAAATGCTTAGAGGAACAGTAGTGCTTTTGTTGAATGCTGAGCTGCTGTGCCTATCTGATCCCCCTTTTTTTTGTTCAGGACAGTCCTTGGGCTTGAAAACACATAATGCTTATTTGTGTCTGGAAATGAATTTCTCCATCTGAATTTTTTAATCAGCTGGGTTGGGCATGATTCTTTGGGAATTTCCTGATGCCTAGAGCATGGTCTCCTGTCTGTGATGCTGCCCCAGTCCAGAGATTCGCAAACTCAATGGAAAACTTGATGCTTCTTGCTCTTCCTCATTCCAGTTGTGCAATTTTTCCCATCTAAGATAACGGTTGTTTTCCTACAAAACTTCTATTTGAAATCAGATTTCGAATAATGTCTCTACCACTTACAAAGAACTCCTGAGTTTCTTGTACTTATATGCTTCATTTAATTAATTCATTCTAGCATTGTAGCCTGCTCTAGATGAAAAGGATAGGGAGTGTCAGTCTGTAATGGCAAGGCAAGTTTGCTGCAACTGGTCAACAAGGACAGAACCATAGCCAGACAGAATTCTGCTGGTTTAGTTTCCTGATTCCACCTGAGATGACAGCCACAGTACACCCTTGTGACCATTTGCAGAGGTAGTGTTGTAGTGCAGCAAAAGATCCAACCACCTTGGGTATCACAATGTTGCATTGAGCAAGGTGCTTGGATGCTGTTGCCAGACACCCCAGTTCAAGACACCTAGCTTCTTAAGTTAGTAACAGAAAATCCTTTGAAAAAGAAGCCACCCCCCCTTCCTGTACTTCGGTTATTGGGAATGTCAAGGGCGCTATCTAAAGCTCTACGGCTCTAATATATCTATGATATGGTTGGGTGTGGGCATCAAGTTCCAGTGGAAACAGCTACTTTATGGAAAAGTGGGAAGTAAATTCACTGCTGGAAGGAACACTAGGTGAATTTAAGAACTAACTACTGGGCACAGGGAAATGGTACCATTAACCGGCATAAGGGGGTGCTGCTAATAATTCTTAAAATAGGACCCAGTGAGCTTCTTTTCATGATGACCTGCCCTGATCTTGGATAAGAAAGAGTGAGAGAGGAAAAGGGTCAGAGGAGAACAGACTGGTAGCTAAATGCTACAAACAGCATCAACACAATCAGTACTACTATCACTTCAGAGTACATGTTGATGCTCAGGACTATATTCCTTTCTTTATAAGACAGAAACCAAGCATCTAAGCTCTATGCCTAAGAGGAAAATTCCAATCCTCTTCTTCCTTTGACATCCTTGAGCAATAAAGGCCAGCTCAAATAGAGAAGGGTTTCATTGTTCCCCAAAGGTTATCAAGTTTTGATTTCTGACAAATCCTTACGTGGAGACAAATGCCAGCGTAGCAGGGGATGACACCACTAAGAACACCTCTCTTAGCTTCCTTGATTTCTGGAACTGGTAGGATAATTTAAATGTAAATTTAATTAAGATTACATTATAGGCTGATTTATCTTGGCCTTCAGAAACAGAAAAAAGCAAGCAGACCAAGAAAAGTTTCACTGAATGGTTCAGAAGATCTTTGGAAATAGGCTTTAAAAGGAATGACGAAGTCCCTATTATAATTGCTCTCCTCTTTCCCCTCTCTCCTCAGTGCTTGATTGTTGGAGGAGGACCCTGTGGTTTGCGGACTGCCATAGAACTTGCCTTCCTGGGAGTCAAAGTTGTTGTTGTGGAGAAGCGGGACACTTTTTCGAGGAACAATGTGCTTCATCTTTGGCCTTTTACTATTCATGACCTTCGAAGTCTGGGAGCCAAAAAGTTTTATGGGAAATTCTGTGCCGGATCCATTGATCATATTAGTAAGTATACTGGCCATGAGAAATGAGGGCAGGTTTGCTGTGTTTGATTAGAAGATGCATATTCTGCACAGATTGATGCTAAATATTCTTTACATGTCTTCTTGTCAGACATATTTAGTGCAGTTAATTGTCAGGTTACATGCAAATAAATTCTGTTTAATCCAGTTGAGTTTGTTCAGGATTGCCTTGGTTACCTGATATGGTATGCCAGTATATCAGAGATGTATCAAACTATGAACACAAAACGGTCCATGCCAAGTACTTTGCAAAGAACAAGGAATTAGATAATTCAGGGAACTTCTGTATCTCATTTGCTTTGTGGTCTGTCTCTCCTGTGGCCATTTTTAGTATAATTATTATGCAAATTTGAAATATTATTTCAAACTTTCACCGAAGTTAACAGCTCTTTTTTAACTTTTATTTTTATACATAAGAAGCCTTTCAGATTGGTAGGCTTGCTTTTGCCATGTATTGACTTTCAAATAATAGGCTTCATATTTTGAAGGGACCTTTTTCCTCCCTAAACATTTATTTAGGCTCTAATGGTAGTATGAAAACTATTTTACGCAGCTGTCAGGTTTTCAGTCAACTCACTCTCTAACACAGGCTTTCTTGAGAGAAAGCTTATTGAAGAGATTTGAGGTACTGTAAAGGTGAACTCTTTGTCAGGAATGAGGGGGGAAAGTGGGGACCCAGTGAATAGCCAAAACTCACATTCCAGTCATACGTCACACAGTCACAAGTATAAGCAATCCTAAGAACCCAGACAGATACAGTGGTTCAACTAGCCATTCAAAGTCTTATCATCTTCAAGGACACTTCTCATGAGAAGCTCCCAAGGCGCTGCTTGGGAAAACGGTAGCATGCGTTGCCTCCCTAAACTACAGACATTCACACAGACTCACCCCCTCACACAGCTCCTCTCCCTCCCACAAGGAATGTCAGCGAGGTGAGCAATAAGCATATGGCTGGATACATCTGCTTTAGCTGGGGAAGCAAGGGGGGAAGGGAATGGGATGTGGGTTACATTGAAGCAGGTTGGTAATACTACAGGTGTAACATATTAGTAGAAGGCGAATCCGAGTCTGACAGCAGCTACTTCTAACAAGTGACAAGTAGAGTTCTGCTTGTGGAATTACACCTTCTTACTCCCGCCTCCTCTTCAAACCATTGCATCCCATTCAACCCATTGCATCCTTAAAATGTTGCCCTTGGGTTCAGAGGACTATAAGTAACGTGGGAGCCGTCACCAATTCCCCTTCTCATTGCAAGTTTCCCTGCCCATCATGCAATGACTGTTGTGTACAATCCAAAAAGACATTAAATATTGAAGACAACCGGGGGGGGGGGGGGTTTGTTTCATGTCTTGTGAATGTGTCTCTCCATGGCTCCAAAAATGATAGTGTGATCAATGCAGGTTAGAGTACCACCACCAAATTATTATTTTTTAAAAAATTGTTAGTGTAGTTCAGTTGATCAGTTTCTTTTAGTTTGTACATATTGCACTTGTGACGGTTTCTCTGTTGTTTGTTAAATGCATCCTTTTAGTATGTTGTTGAGCACTATTGTACCTAATATGAAGGAAGCAAAATGTGGTGGTTAACTTGAAAAGAAGCTGTCAATGGAAGAAATATAAAAGTTAACTTTTAGAAGCAAAAGAATACATTTATCATGTTAAAACCCCCAAGTCTTTCCCCCATCTCGTTTAACATGTGTATCCTAAAATAATGGCCATATTATTTCTTCTTTTATAGGTATTAGACAGCTTCAACTTATTCTTTTCAAAGTTGCACTGATGTTGGGAGTGGAAATTCATGTGAATTTAGAATTTGTGAAAGTTTTGGAGCCTCCTGAAGATCAAGAAAATCAAAGTATGACAAACCTTATTTATTTGTGCACTTCATTTTTAATGAGCCCATCAAATTTATTCTATTTATATAAAACACAGTTTTTTCCCTATATCTAGACACTCCTAAGGAGCTGCGGTGGCTCAAGTGGTTAAGACACTGAACTGCAGGCTGTGGAAGGTCAGTAGTTCAGCAGTTCAAGACCGGCTTGCCGCATGACGGAGTGAGCTCCCGTCTCTAGTTCCAGCTCCTGCCAACCTAGCAGTTCGAAAGCAAGAAATTGCAAGTAGATAAATAGGTACCACTTCAGTGGGAAGGTAACAGCGTTCCGTGCACCTTGGTGTTTAGTCATGCCGGCCACATGACCACGGAAACATCTTTGGACAGCGCTGGCTCTTCAGCTTTGAAACGGAGATGAGCACCGCAACCCTAGAGTCGGACTCGACTGGCTTTCGAGCAAGGGAACCTTTGCCTTTACCTTTAGACACTCCTAACCTCTTGGATACAATCATTAGGCATCATCTTGATAACAGTTCAGGTAAACATTGAGGAATGTTTAGTCAGTCTGAAAAAGGTTTACTTCTATCCTGTGCCCACATGCGAAATGCCTTGGGCCATTTTAGCTGTAAAATCTTTAACCAAGGAAAAGTCCAAAGTGGTTTTGATTGGCTAGAAAGCCACCAAACGTATACGGTATATCAATTCGGTATAATTTGGATGGGATTGAATCTTATTGTCATTTGGGATTACTGTTTTCCAGAATGAGCAACATAGCAGGTTAAGCTAAAATTTGGCATAAAGACATTTTGGTGTGTTCATTGGGATAGCCAAGTTGCTTCAGGTTTGAAAATCATAGAAATAGTGCTACCTATATCAACTCTGTAAGCATTGAAATATGAAGGCTTTACCCAGATAGATTTCTTTTTTAACAGGACAAAGTACAAAAAACCCCTATAATGGTGAGAACTGGAATGCTTCCAGTGGAAGAGTTTACTTCTAATCAACTTTTTGCTTAATTTAAGACAAATGGCAAAAGTTAGGCTTAAATGTACTAGAAAAAATTAATTTTTTTCTAAAGAAGCAAATACCTGTCTTGTTAAAAGTATTTGACCAAATTACGTAGTACTTCTAAGAGCTATTTTAGGTGGATTCTACCATCAACACTGTTGTTTTTTTATGCCAAAAGTGTTAGCTTACTGTGTGCTGAGTTTTAATTGGATTTTATTGACCTAATGGTTTTATTATTGTTACTGCACTGCTATACTGTTAGCCACCCTGAGCCCCATTCTGAGGGAGGGGTGAGATAAAAAATGAATAAAATAAATAAATAAAATAAGCTGGAATTTAAAAGTTCCTTAGGGATATTTTCCCCAAATAAATATATCATGGATAAAATATTAAAGCCCCCAATATTCAATCATAATATTTCATAATAACCTGGAAAATTACATAATGAGCTGTCAAAGTTCCCTCTAAGATTGCCTTTTGACTTTACTGAGATTTCAAAAGAAATAATCCTCTGATCGTAGAGAGGCAGTACAAAAATCTGTGTTAAATTCTGTTGTATTAATGTTGAGGAAATACAATACACTTCTGTAAACTCAGTTCAGGGTGAGACTATTGCAGTGTGCTCTGTGTAAAGCTATTCTTTAAGACTTCTGGGAACTACAAATGGTACAGAACCTATTAATCATTGTTTGAAGGTAGAATCATATAACTACAATTTGGAACAGCTGTGTCGATTACCAATTTACTTCTGGGTCCATTACAAGATGCTGCATTTGATCATTAAAGCCCTCTGAAGGACTGCCTCTCCTATTATGAGCCTGTGGCTATCCTTAGATCCTTCTAGGACTTCCTCCTGGTTGAGCTGTCCATTTGACCGTAGAATGGGTCCACGATGTTTTGGCGGTGGCTCCAGTGTTATAGAAGAACTGTAGGGTCTCTATGCCATCCACCTTTCATAAGAAGGTTGTTGTCTTAGGTAGGCATTTGCAGTTAACTTTATAATGTGGGTATTACCTTTAGGGGGAACTGTATAGCTTTTTTTGGTATGCTTTTTGGTTGTAATTATACGTTACCTGTAACCCACCCTGAGTTGCCATGGTTGGTGGGAAAGGTGGGATATTAGTACTTCAACAAAAATACAAAAAATAAAACAATCTGAGAATATACAGAACAGATTTTTACACTTGTTGCTGAAGAATTGTCAGCATTGGTCATACCTCCAGAAAAGGAGGGTTTTTTTAGTGAGAAGGAAGAACACAATGATCAACTGAATCATAGCTCTAAATTCTAGCATCTGTAAAGTGATGACACAGTTATTTTGACTTTCATGTTGCAAATTACAGCTTGTATTTTTTGCAGGTAAACACTTTTTGTACATTATCTGAAATATTGTTATATGTGTTTTTCCATCTTGCAGAGTATGTTTAGTGATTGTTTCCAGCATTGTTTTATTTGTTATGTTGCTTGTTACTTCATTGTTACAGCCAAAGCTAATAAACTGAACTGAAACTAATAAATTGAAACTAAATTATATATTAGAAGTAGACAAATGACCAGAAAAGGGAGGTAGGCTGGAACAAGTATCTTTTGTGATGGAACGCAAATCCCTTTGGATTATGGCAAGAAAGCTTGGTTTCAAAATCTCAAGAGCTATCCACATGAGAGTCATCTTGCACTGTAAGAATTACTCTTCTGCAAAAGTAGAACTGAAAATATGGCTTTTTCTCCAGAGGAAGTGATCTGTGTGGTCTGGAGTAGGGATGGGCACAAACCGGGAAAATGGTGGTTGATTCTGGTTCATGGTTTGTGGGGTCTCACAAACCATTAACCTTCCTGTTTACTGAACGGGCTTGTTCTGTGAGGTTTGTGATGTGGTAGAATGGGCCCCCCCTGTGGGCTAGAGATGCCAAACTCACAGCAAACTCACAGCAAGTCTCCAGCTGACTTTCCTGTTCTACCAAAGAGAGATCACCCCCCTTTTTCCTTCTGACCCTGTGATCCTTGACTTGTGGGCCTCCTGAGGTCCCCCTTCTTGGCCTGGCCACATCTGCTGGCCTCCCTCTGACTGCCCCGTGGGCAGTTTCCCAGAATTCTTCCTGCTTCTATCAAAAGGAGACGGCTCCCCCTTTTCCTTCTGACCCTGCAATCCTTGACCAAGTCCAATAAAAATAAATAAAATAAAAAATAAATCATCACAAAGGGAAGTTGGGTAGTTAAAGCTTCAGCATAAGAACAGCCTGGTCAAATTTACTTTTGGTTGTTCACCACAGGATTGAGTGTGATCTTGAGTGTGACAAATGCCCTGGCTACCAAGAGCAGTTTCTGGATTCATGACAACCTCAGAATAAAAATTTCCCATGAACTTCCTTGATGTGCTGCTCAGACCTAATTTCTGCAAATGGTGTTATGTTTAATCCAGACTGTAGTGATTACTTATTGTTAAGTTGTATGTTGGCTGACAGACTTATTTGCTTCAGAAATAGGTTGGCGGGCTGAATTTCTCCCAGTCGATCATCCTTTGTCAGAATATGAGTTTGATGTAATTATTGGTGCTGATGGCCACAAAAACACTTTGGAAGGTATGTTATGTGCGACACAAAAACTAACTTGGCGGTAAAGGTCTGTTTATTTCTGAAACTGTAATAGCTGTTAGAGTGGATAGTGTATGCTTTTTAAATTACCGTCTTCAAGCCATGAAGAAAATATGTTACCTTAGATTTTCTAAAGGTGCTTGACGGCTGATTTTAAGAGAATTTTCATTGCCAAGCATGAGTGGTGGTCGTGGAAAGTGCTGTCAAGTCACAGCCGACTTATGGTGACCCTGCAGGGCTTTCAAGGCAAAACACGGTCAGAGGAGGCTTGCCACTGACTACCCCTGCATAGCAACCCTGGACTTCCTTGGTAGGTCTCCCATCCAAGTACTAACCAGGGCAGACCCTGCTTAGCAGCCAGTATCCGATGAGATTGGTCTAGCCTGGCCCATCCAGGTCAGGGTTCCAAGCACAGTTCCCTCTAAGCTGAGTTGGTGTGACCTAGCTCACAGATTTTTAGCCTCCGGCTCACAGATTTCTGTCTCAGCTCAGGAAGGATGGCTCCAGAGCAATCTGATTTATGCAGCAGCCAAATCGCTCGCTCACAACTTTAATGCCAGTAGCTCACAAAGTAGAATTTTTGCTCACAAGATGCCACAGCTTAGAGGGAACATTGGTTCCAAGCACAAGTAGATACTGTTTAACATAGAATAATACTTCATGTAAGGATTGTAATGAATGGAGAAAGTCCGTGAGTAACCGCGATCACCGAATGATGAACGAGATATTTGATATGTGTAATAAGACCTCTAATAGGTTGCTTTAGGAAGAGTGAATTGATTTCAAAAGTACATGTTCTGCAAAAAGGTGAGTGAATGAAAGCTGGAAGGAAAGGATGATCTTTTAACATCTTCAAAATAATAATTAAACAAACCTCTAACTCCCTTCTCAGCTGTTTTCAAGTGAGACACTAGCTAAGCAGCTTTCTTCCTATCACATGAGCAGACTTGCTGCTAATTATATTTTTTCCGTTGATTTTAGTTGGGTACCTTATTGAATTCAGTTCTGTCAAACAGTACTAGATTACCTGTTAGCCGTTCAAAACCATAGCAAAAGATACAGCCATTTGTTCGGGCGTTGCAGAAGCACACTCGCACAAATGAAACAATCACATGTCAAAGGTAAAGTGGGCAGGAGAGCTGAGAGGTGACTTGGTCAAAAGATAAGATAGAAGCTGCTGTTCTAACTGGCAGTTGCTGTGGTCAAGGAAGTAGGAGAAATGTGGCTACAAGGACATGTGTGCCGGGGGATCCTATGGAGGGATGTGGCTCCCTGGTATGTGTTCATCTCTTGTCCTCAAGAATATATATGGTGTGTGAGTTTCCCTGCTGGCACTTTTCATATTGCAGAAAACAATAAAGAAACATCAGTGCACTCAAACAGCTGGTAAGGTAGCTCTTGAGACAAGGGCCCCGGTCACATGAACGGTTTTGGGCCGGGAGAGGGACAGAGCAAACGGGCGCGATCCCACCGCAACATCTGGGAAGCGTTGCGCAACCGTCCCCGATCCGGCCCTTCACCCGAAAAGCCGCAGCAAAAATAAACCACCTACTGAGGTGGCTTTTCCAGCACGCCACATCAAAGCCTGGCCATGGGATCGCCGGCACGTCCTTCTGCCGGCGCATCCGCGGCTCCTGGCTGAACTGCGCATGCTCAGACATGCGCAGTTCGGCAGTCTCCCTTTCCCCACCGTGGCTTCCCCCGGCATCTGATCCTGCCGGGGAGGGAATGCGCCGCGGCTCAGGGGATCAATGTGATCCCGCCGCCGCGTGTCTCTTTTGGTGTGGCTTTATAAAGCCACACTTTCGCCTGTTCCTTCCCCCCCCCCCATGTGGCAGGGCCCCAAATCAAGCAACACACCAGTTAGTTCCATGTATGAAGTTCCCAGTGATTGGGGTTTTTTTCTTCTTCCACAGTAGCCTGCATGCAGGGCTCTAGTTTAAGGCTCTCCCGCTTGCCATTTTTCTGATGCAAAACAAAGCTGTGGGACTGCAAATATAACTCAGGAAAGACAAGAGATGAGACTGAAAGACTCCTCCCCTTGCCCTCCTGGTCAGCTAGTTAAAGCTCCAAACTAGGTGTATGCAATCAGATATTGCCGAATGCTACAAGGTTTAGTGTTTCCTATTGTGAAAGGCTTCCTGTGAGTGTCTTTTGTGATATTTTTCTCCCAATAAATATTGGAAATACCTAGAATTTTGTCAGGAAGCCTTTCCGGTTTCATAGTTTCTAAATGTATGTGTTAAGTTATTAGCCGCCTTGGTGGCCCTTGTAAGGGCAGAAATGTGGTATTAAAAAGACTTTATTGTTTTCAATGGCAGCCTGGCAGCAAGAGTGATGAGGAAGGGGGAGAGCCCGCAGGTCAGCTGGCTGCCACCATGGCTATTGAAAATAACGTCTCTTTAAATTTTAGAAGGCCATTATTTTCAGTGAGCGATAGATATGGCCTCCAAATCTGTGAATGGCAACAATTTGGCACTGCTTGCCCAGCTGAGGCAAATCCCCCCCCCCGCCCCCAGACCGCCACTGCTGAGGCCTCTGAGGCAGTGGGCTAATTGAGTGTGGAGGTGGCAACAATCATACCCCAGCTACACGGAAGGAAACCTTGCTTAAAAGTGTGATGAGCCAGTGGACAAAGACCCTAAGAGGAGTGAAAAAGCCAACTTGCAGCCATCAGAATCCAGCTCCCAGCAGATGAGGGACCAGCTGGGAGTTGGCTTGTGATATACTGCTAGGAAATGTTGCTGGGTTGTTTTTTTTTGGGGGGGGGTGTCATTAGCTGACTTACACCGGATCACTGGAATCAGCTGCAAGCCAGATTCTTCTAATCTTCCATCCTGGGAATAATGCTCTGGCCCAGATTGGCTGAGATGCCACACATCTGCCAGGGGAGGGGTTGATCAGATACCCAGCTGATTCTTATTCTCTGTTCTCCCACCCCAAGCTGTCAGCTTGGGATGCAGCTAAAAGGAAATAAGCTGTCTTCTCTCCCTCTTGCAATGGGGAACTCAGAAGCCAACTGCTTGTGGTTTCCAAATTCACCGTGCAGCAGTTTTTCTGAGGGGGGAAGGATGAATCAGAAGCCCCTTAGCAACTGATCCCCATCAGCTGTGAGATGGCTTCTGGTCCCCCCTTGACCTTTTCGTGTGCCCCAGCACAACCAGGGTAGGATGCAAGGAAGTGCTGGTAGAACAGAATCAGACTCGGATTTGATCCCTCAAGCAGCTGTAAGTCAGCTTTCTGAACAGCCGCTGCCAACTTGGTCAGCAGCTGTTTGAGTTGCCTGATGCAAGGTGAATATATCCTTGCTCAGCTCATGGTCTGATTGTGATTGTCAAACAGGGTATGGATGACTTCTGAATAGTTATGTTATGAAATTTGTGGTACCCTTGTTCCTTTTCAATGTTCCACTGTGTAACAAAGAGCAGGGGGGGTCCATAAGAACCATAAGAACCCTAATGTAGCCAATCCTCCAAGAGCTTACAGTAGCCCCTGTAAGAAGAGCTCTGTAAGCTCTCAGAGGATTGGCTACATTAGGAGTGTGTCCCCTAATATGCAAAGAAGTTCCTGCTACAAAAAGAGCCCTGAGAGAAACCATGTTGAATCAGGCCAATGACCCATCCAGTCCAACACTCTGTGTCACACAGTGGCCAAAAACCAGATGCCATCAGGAGGTCCACCAGTGGGGCCAGAACTTCAGAAGTCCTCCCTCTGTTGTCCCCCAAGGACCAAGAATACAGAGCATCACTGCTTCAGACAGTGTTCCATCTATATCTTGTGACTAATAATAGCCACTGATGGACATCTGCTGCATATGTTCATCTAATACCCTCTTGAAGCTGTCTGTGCTTCTAGCTGCCACCATTTCCATATGTTAATTACTCTTTGGGTAAAGGAGTACTTCCTTTTATCTGTTCTAAATCTACTGCTCATTAATTTAATTGAGTGCCCACAAGCTCTTGTATTGTGAGAAAGGGAGAAAAATACTTCTTTCTCTGCTTTCTCTACCCCATGCATAATTTTGTAAACCTCTGCCATATCACCCCTCAGCCATTGTTTCTCCAAGCTAAAGAACCCTAACCTCTTTAACCTTTCCTCATAGGGAAAGTGTTCCAACCCCTTAATCATTTTAGTTGCCCTTTTCTGCACTTTTTCCAGAGCTATAATATCTTTCTTTGAGGTGTGGTGTCCAGAACTGTACACATTATTCCAAATGAGGCCACATCATCGATTTATACAGGGGCATTATGATACTGGCTGATTTATTTCCAGTTCCCTTCCTAATAATCCCCAAAATAACATTTGCCTTTTTTATTGCCATCACACACTGTGTCAACATTTTCAGTGAGTTATCTACCACGATTCCAATATCTCTCCTGGTCAGTCTCCACCAGTTTGGACCCCATCAATGTGTATTTATAGTTAGGATTTTGGCTCCAATGTGCATTACTTTGCACTTTCCCACATTGAACCTCACTTGCCACGTTGATGCCCATTTGCTGAATCTCAACAGATCCCTCTGGAGCACCTCACAATCCTCCCTGGTTCTCACCATCCTGAACAACTTAAGAGTCATGTGCAAACCTAGCCACTTCACTGCTTACTCCCAACTCCAAATCATTAATGAAAAAGTTAAAAAGCACTGGACCCAGTACTCAGCCCTGCAGTACCCCACTGCTTACCACCCTCCAGTTCTCTTTAAGCAGCATGGTAGGGTTTGGTGATCTAAGACTGGGTAGAAAAGACTGTTGCCATAGACTGTGACTAGAAACCTTTTGAGCAAATGTTGTCTAAAGTTGCCAACTAAAAATCCACCAAAATGTTAAATCAATGTTAAATCAATAAAAGAGGATGATTTTCTTTTTAATCTTTAAATTTATCAGGAAGAAAGCTTTTGTGTTGATTGTCAGACTGTCCCGGTGTGCTTTTTTTTCCTGTGCAAGGCTTTAGGAGGAAAGAATTTCGTGGGAAATTGGCTATTGCTATTACTGCCAACTTTATAAACAGAAATACAACTGCGGAAGCTAAAGTGGAAGAGATCAGTGGGGTTGCTTTCATCTTCAATCAAAAATTCTTCCAAGATCTGAAAGAAGAAACAGGTGGGCCACCTGTTCTCCTTTTAAGCATGGCAAAGTACAGCATAAATCCCCGAACATAACCCTGTAATAGTTATTCATAAGGTACCAATTAAGTGATAGCAATGTGCTGATTTCAGACAAGTAGAAAGAGAGAGATTTAATCTCCTTTAGCTGTGCTTTTAGCATGGATGTTTGCACTGCAAGTTATTTTTTAGATAAGTCAGATAGTCTTTTTTGGCTCCTACACTCATATTTTATTAGTTTGCTTTATCCTGCTGTCAATCAAACTATGGAAACTACATATTGCATGATTTTAAGCCATGCTGGTTCAGTTTTAATGACTTTTATCTGTGCCATTGATTGCAAGCCAAGCATTACAACAAACTATGGAAATAGTTTTTTTTTTTTAAATGATCATAAATACTAAATGTTAAGAAAAATAAGAAACATATAGAGTAGTTATTTTAAGTATAAATTAGAGGAGAAAACAAGATCCCAAATAATTTCTAAATAGCAAGAAGAAAATTTTCCAAAAGACACAGTTCTTACTATTTGAATTTTTTGCCGTATATTTTCTACAAACACAATGGTGTTCTAGTGTTTTGGAAAAGGTTACCATTGTTTTTTTTTATTTCTCCTTTTATCCAACCGCCCCCCAAAATGCTTATAAAACATCTTGTGTGGCCCCCCAAAAATGCTTGTAGAATATCTTGCTCAAGGACATTATAACAAAGTTTGAGTCTGTTGAAGTGTGCATGCACACGAAAGCTTACATCCAGATTTATACTTTGTGGGTCTTAAAGAAGAAGAAGAGAAGAGAGAGAGAAAGAGATTTAATTTCTACCCCACCCTTCACTCGGAGTCTCAGAGCGGTTTACAAACTCCTTTCCCTTCCCGTCCCCACAACAGACACCCTGTGAGGTAGCTGGGGCTGAGAGAGCTCTTTTGAGAACGGCTCTTTCAAGAACAGCTCTGATAGAACTATGGCTTGCCCAAGGTCATCCAGCAGCTGCAAGTGGACGTGTGGGGAATCAAACCTGGTTCTCCCATATTAGAATCCATGCACTTAACCACTACACCAAAGGTGCCACTGGACTCAAACTTCGTTCTGTTGCTTCAGGTCAACATGACTACCCCCCTGAGTCTATTAAGGGCAGTATGTTAGAAATTTTCCAATGCCCCTACGATGGTATTATTGCTTATTTCCAATTCGCTATCAAAATTCTTTCCCACTTAATCATTATTTTACAGCTCCTCTTGTATAACTCAGAAAAAAGGTATTACATCTACTGATTTACAAGACCGTTTATGCCAAAATTAATGATAGTACAAAAATAATATGATGGTTAAAAAAATGTAAAACACCATAATGAGAATCCAGATAATTAGCTTGTTTCTAATCTTCAGATATGTGTAAAACGTTTATCAGAATGTGAACAGTCTGTAATTACATCTTGGTATGCAGGAGGCAGGTAAATCCCCATTCAGAATCAGAAATACTTAAAATAACAACACTACTTTCTGCAGTAGGTCCTTCCAATATGAAACAACCAGATATCTGACTTGCCTAAAATTATAATAGGGAAATAATTTCAGTAATGAAGTCTTCAAGATTGGCTTAATCTTCCTGTTGAGATAAGTATGTGGTTAACAAAACATTGTTTCAAAATTTAGTGTCTAGTGAAAGTGGTAAATCTACAACTGACTTAAACCGTGCTGCTGAGATCAGAGGAGGGAATGGTTTTTCTATAGGAGCAACCAGTCAGTCAGGCATTTATTACGGCAAGAAGCCATAGAACACACACGCTTAAATATAACATTCATATAACTGAATTTAGGACAGTAAAATAAAACTCTATAAAAATACAGTTGAGTGTAATACAGTAAAAGAAGAACATAAAACAGACTATTAGGCAACTATTGTTATATACTAGGAAAAAGGCCCATTGTGGAAATAAATACAATGACCTCTAGAAAGAGGCTCTGGGCAGGTGCCCCGACCTTGGACACTCAGTGTCAATTTGCTGTGGCGACCTCAGCAGGGTATAATGACACTGAGTCCACCATTTTCTCCAGAGGAACTGATCTCTGCTACCTAAAGAACAGTTGTAATTTTTAGTAATCTCCACCTGGAGATTAGTAACAATGGTTCCCCAGAAGGGAATGGTTGGTTTGGAGGGTGGAGTCTATGGCTTTGTACCTGTCCGAGGTCCCACGCCTCCTGAAACCTCACCCTCTCCAGGCTCCATCCCTCACATCTCCAGGAATTTCCCACCTGGAGTTGGCAACCCTATCTCCTTCCCAGCCAATCATCAACCTACCTTTATTTCCCCCTCACTATTCAGCTTTCCACCCCCCACACACCTGCAGCCTCTCCCGTGCTCTGAAGCCCTGACTGCTACGTCAGATTGGCTGGCATATGGGGGCCACCTCAGCAGCATATAAGGATACAGAGCCCACCATTTTCTCCAGGGGAAC